TATGGAAATAAATTAAGTTAATAGCTGAAAACTTAAAAGATAGATTAATATTGAATTATAGAATTAAATGTATTCGAAAAATCAGAGATATCAATCGATCTGGTTTAGTCTGCAGACGTTTCCGAACTAGGTCAGGTCAAAGAAAAGTAATCTGTTGGCAGCTTTGATATAAAAGTATTAATCTTTTTTATTTTCAACAAATCCGAATGAAGATATTTATCTATTACTTTTTTGAGTTTGTTCATCCTTAACATAAATATTGTACTTTTTTATTTTGATAATCATAATTTTGAATAAAATAATGGCGACACTATATATCATTAAAAAAAAATTCTAGTACAATCAATTAGTTATCATTTTGATAAAATGTTGCTTTAAAATATTCTACGTTAACAACAATACCGGTCAAGAAAAAAAAACAATAACAACAACGAAATACATTGCCAGTAAAATAATTTAACATTACTACCATTTAAACATTTCATATTAATCATCCTCATTTGCTAGACAATAATACTAAAGTAATAACAAATTATATAATTGATGAGTATTAAAATTATATGACTTTTTAAATAAAGTAAATTAATTCTTTCTGATTTACATGTAACTCAATTTAATTGCAAAGTTATTCTTTTCTTGTCTAATTAATATTTATTGCAATTTCTTTTTTGTTATTCAAGCAGATAATTATATATTACATGATCGTATGATACTAATTTTGATAAGGATCGATATTCATACGCCGTAACATTATATAGAAATGATTTTATAATCGTTGTAATAGTATATTCATCGAAGATTTAACAGCTCTTCATTATGTATTCGTACTCCTATTACAACTGTCTTCTTATATAGTCATTGAAATGATAATATTAAATAAATTGAAGTCATATTAGAAATGTACAGTAGTCGCCAGCAGTCTTGCTATCAAGTAAAAAGTACATAAACTTCAATCGTTTTGTCTGATGGATGTTTTGACTACAAATAGAGCTAGGTAAACCCTGATCGCAAACAGCAAGTTGAGGTCGATCGATGTTAATGTATAGGATTTACGATGAAAATACAGATTTTTTTCCACATTTACACTCTCCTTTAAAAGAAAATGAGAAATAAATAATGTAGAAAGTTGTTTTTTTTTATTCACTTATTATTATGAATAAGAACTTTGTTTTCTATTTAATTTCTGAAGAATATCACAAAGATATTGACAAATATATTGACATTTAGATGAGTTATTATTCATTAATGATAAAATTTGATAAAGATGTGTTAAAATTTCAATTAAAAATATTTTTTCATGTGAATAATATTGATGAAGATATTCAAGAATAAATTCTGAACTATGAAGAATATCAATTAAATATTGATATTGAAGAAAATATGTTGGATTTAATGATTGACATGAATATTTTTTTGTTATTATTGTTCGAATTATACGAAAAATTTCTGATGTATTAGAAAGAAATTTGAGAAGATCAGTTGATGGTTCTAGATTAGGATTTACATTGGCTACATTTACTTCATGCTGAATTAAATCGGAAAGAATTTCACCAATAGTTGAAGAGTCAATCGATTCGAAATCTAAAACATAAGAATTATGTTTAATAAATAAACTATTTTTTTTTTCAGTCGAGTCTCAAATTTTGTAAACGAACAAATGAAGAAATCAAAACAAATCGAAAATGCTCTTCTAAGAGAGTTTATACATGAACTCGAAAGAACTATACGAAAATATGAATGTGATCAACTATTGAAAGATTTCAATTGCTTTGTTATCAATTCATGGAGCTTGTCTTACTGACTCTATGTGCGCGAAATTCAAACAACATAATATATTCAATCATCAGATGCCCCTCAAAAAGATTTGGATCCATGACATTAGGAAACTGCAGCTCCAAAGTTTTATTTATTGTTAGGACTGAACCCAAAAGTTTAGCTTTTTTTGCGATACCGAGTGCACGTTTTTCTGGACCCGCAACTCTCTACATGATCTACTGACGAAGAGTGTTGATCATTTTAATGAAAGATTTACTGAGAATGATAAATTTTTGAATGATTTAATACAAAGTGTTTCGAGTTGAAATTTTGCTTATAGGCATATTTAATAGTTTTGAAAGTTTCAATGAAAACGAAAATTTTTTTCACGAGATATTCAATCTCTAAACAAGCAGTGGTATACCGTGAGAGGAAACCGTAATCGAGTCTATTTGAAAATTGAATATATTGAGAAAGACATATTCGTTTTCGTTGAAACTTTTAAGACTAAAAAACGTATCTATAGACAAAATTTCATTAAAACTGCTAATACTCTTCATCAATAATCTATGGAACTCACATTCTTTTAAGATTTTTATCTAAGTCTCATCGAGATCTATTCGTAATCCTCATATGGATTTAAACATTATCTAACAGTTGCTTGTAAGATTATCTTACCTGATTGTTGAAGATTTTGAATCAGTATTTGTAAGTTTTTATGATTGATCATTTCATGATGATTTCTAATATTATTGAAGGTCATATTGTCTGATACTGTATATATAAATAATTATTAGTTATTAACACTTGTATTCTAGTCTATATTTACTGAATTTCTCAGTTCGAAAACATAAAAGTAAAATAAAATAAAGACTTATTTTCTTACATTTTCTTTCTAGACAATTAACATCATTATCATCATCGAAACATAGTGAATCAACGCTTCTATTTGTTTGTGAAGATCTACAATCTGTTTAAAAATCATCTAATCTTTGTATTTTACATTGATCATTATCATTACTACCGTCTGAATCACAATCATCAGATAATGGTCGAATAGTTGATTTAGCTAAATACAAAAAACAAACAACATCAATCTTATAGATAATAGGATATAATATTTAATCAGTAAAATACATGAAATAATCAGTAAGTTAAAGAATAATAAAATCAATAAATTACTAACAGGATCAGTTAGTAATGAACGAATCAAATTTTTTAATAGACTAAAATGCATTATAGTATGTTTCACTTTTTTTTTCTTCTTGTCCTTGTTTCGTTGTATCATGTAGGTATAGATGCTATGTGCGACATACATTTCGATGCTCTTTGCTTTTATCCTTTCCTCCAATTTCGACTTAGAGTCTACGAATAAAACAGGTGGACGTGTCACAAGTTGCTCAATATGAAAGTAATGTAACAGATGAAGAAATTATAAAACAAATGGAAAAGAAAGATTTCACTAAAGAAAGAGATCAAAATATTGAACTAAAGGGTATATTTGGTAATGTTTGATGGAACAGAAGTATCAATTAGAAATAAATGATCATAACATTATACAAACCACACAGAAAATGAGAAAACAATGTGTTAAAAGTGCAACAAAGTCAAGCATTGTTGATCTTAATATAGAACAAGTATTTATCTGTTGTATTATGTAGACAATAGAAAAAAAAAGTTCTTGTTTATAATACTGAAGTTGAGTCAGAGTTGCAACCATTCTGACTAGACTTCATTGGTTGAAAAATATTTTATAGATATTCTATTTTTCTCTGATAAACCTTATTGAGAGTAAATTTCCTTGCTCTTATCAAAATAATCAAAGAGTGTTGTCTTACGAACTATTAGTTTTATTCTTTTTCAATCGAAGTATATTTCATTTTTTAAAAAGTACACTCAAAACTGTGTTACTTGAGTTAAATATTTTTGGTAAAGATCAAATTTAGATTTAAATCGTCCTTCGAAGAGAAACGATATTTCTTTCTGAAGATTTGTAAAAACCTAAGTTCAAAAAGAAAAATGAATGTTTGTTTTTTGAAACCATTCCCATTCACCGATTAATAATGATTCAACAAGTCGGCTAACTTTTTTGCCAGCTTTCATTGATCTACAAGATTTTCTGAACCGGCTGAACCAGACCAATTCAAAAATATTCGACTGATTATAACTCTGAGCTGAGTACGATGATCATAGGGACTTATGAATGTGAATGAAATGAAAACTCGTTCGAATCCACACTCGCACTGTATTTTATATGGATAAAAAAACCTATATTCGTCATTGACCAAATCTAGATTTTTTTACTGGCTATATCATCTATTTTACTGACCATTTAAATCATGGGCATAGATAAATAATCTATCAAACTTACGTGATTGTGATAGTTTAATGAAAACATACCTAGAAAAAAGAAATGAAGATAGTTATTGAAAACATACGAAATTTACCATAAAATAAAACCAAGAATAATAATACTAATAACAAAAAGAAATACAAAAAATCCATAATGAGAATGTTCTTGTTCGGTAATAACTGGTGGAATTTTATAATAATTATTCTGTTTTTGTGTTGTAACTAAAAGAAAAATTAGAGAAGATTAATTTTATATTTTGTCTGATTGACTTATTCAATATTATAATGAATTATATAAATGAAGAATACTCCCCTCCTTTACCCGTCATTGGTTGAACATACATGCATGAATAATAAATGTTGATGTTTTATTTTCTTTAATCGATTTTTTATATTGTGTTATTAATTTTCTCATTTTTCTATGTATTGATTTTCGTTTTTTTTCTTTTCTATTTTCATCTAAATAATAATTATCAATTAAATTCGAATGTAAAACCATTTCTGAATCACATCGAGATGATAAATCATATAAATAACATGGATTAATATATGTTGTTGGACGAATATGTAATCGAACAAATGATCTATGAACAATTACTGTAAATTTTCCATGAAGATTTATTTCATAAATTTTATCTAATTGATTTGTATATTCATCTTTTGATTTATAATTTAAAGATTTCTTTTGTTCAAAATTTTTCATATGTCTATTATCATTGTTTGTATTCGTATGAATAAATTTTCTATTATTAAAATTGAATTTTCTCTTCATTTATATGTCTTTGTTTATGGTAACTATGAGAATTTAATTAAAGACATAAAATGTTAATCAAGATTATATTTTATATCAAAGAAATTTCAAAACAAAATAGAGAAAAAAAACGATAAGATATTTATTCATTCGGTTGTACACAAGCTGATTCCTGTTCATTGAATGGATCTGTACGATAAGTTAAAGTACATTGTTCATTTCGAAATCGTTTAGCATTTCTAGTTAAATTTTGTGCCCATTCATCACAAGCAACTCTTTTTACACGATATTCTGTAACTTTTAAATTAGCATAATCAGATAAATCGTGTGTTAATCTAGCCAAAAGATCTTTTTCATGAGTAAATACACCACCAGTTAATATACAGTCAATGTCTAAAGCCCATTCTTGTAGATGACTCATATCAAAACAAAAAATATAAACAACTGGTGAAATTCCATATTTAATTATATCTGGAACAATAGCTTGTGCATGTTTACCTTGAATAATACAGAAAAGTTTTTTTTGTTGTTGTTTAATTAATGATAAAAATCGACGACATTGATCAACATCATTAAAGAAATATATATTAGTTGTATTTGATTCAAATTCTTGTTTAAGTTCAATACAATTTTCAGTTTGACCAATATGTTCATCAAGCCAAAGTAAAATTACATCACTTCCGACAATTTTTTCTACAGTGTCCATTAAAATAACATCAAAAGCAAAGTAATCTAGTTATTTGTTTACAAAATAAGACAATATTTTTTTTTTTTCAAGAATGATTTCATAGAACAGAATGATAACATGAAATTGCCACAGGCAAATATGTAATTCCCTTGTTCTTCTACGACATCTATTGAAATATCTTTTTGACCAATTTGAGATTTATTTTTCTGATGCAAAATGCAATGAAGTTGACTTTAGAAACTCAGCTACTGACAACAAGTATATTTATGTTCATTATCTGAAAAGAATTTCGGTAAATCAAATAATACTAAATCTTTGTAAACGTTTCTGGATATCAATTGATCGTAAAATTTAAAAGTTAACTTCAATTATTGAACTGTTACTTCAAGTATTTATAAATTAATCTGACTGCGAGTGTAAAGACTTGTATCTTAGTTAGAGCCTGTGCGGTTGGTCCCAGACTAAAGCCTAGTCGAGTCTGGGTCCGAAAGTTCTCAATCCAACGGGGCTCTGATCTTAGGAAATAAGTCTATAGAATATTGCGATTTGTTCGATTGCGATCGAATTGGACTTAAAAGCAATTTAAAAACAGATCTGAACAATATTGGTCATATTTGTATATAGAATCTTTTTATTGATTCATGTTTTACCTATTTTAAAATATTAGAATAAAATTACGCAGTACTATAATATTTCGATTATTTAGAGAAATTTTCCTGAAAAAAACCGTTCTATTTCAGCTATTTGACTTGATTATAAACGACTGTCGAGTGTTAATCATTTTCAATATATGTTGTAAGGAAATTTAGATAACACTTCCTGTCCGTTTAATCACATATACTTTATTTAAACATGAAATACTTATATCAAGTTATTTTCAGTTCATTCTTACACATCCATCACTATTTTTATCAACATATACTTCGTTCTATTGTTCCAGTTTTCCCCGTTTTTATATCGACCAATGAGAGAAGATGTAACTATATTGTGTCCTTATAAGTTAAAGTTAAAGGGAAATATTTTTGCTACATTATTTAGAAGCGACAAGTAGATGAGGGCTCGTTGATGTCTGCTGTGAGCACACCTTGTTTATGGGTATGGATATGACTAATAATTTTAATTAGTCTCAACTCATGTAAAAAAAATCAGGACAATAATCAAATTAAAAAGTGATTAAAATCAAAAGCAACCAAAAAAATCTAAATTTCATCGATTTTTCAGAATAATTTCGATTATAATTGATTAAAAATTGTGCAAAAAAAATCGACTTTTTATCTTCAAGTTTTAATCTGATTTTTATCCTAGTTTTTTTTTCTACATGGGAAATCTGGAGTGCTGTTTATCATTTCAAAATTTCATCGATTTACTTTATTATGAAACTTTCCAAAAACATACTTTTAATTCAAAACCTTCGATACTTGGTAGATATATGTTCAATAAAAATGATTATAATTTCCGCGTTTCGTTCATAACTGTTAACATAGAAAAAACACTTAATGTTGCATAGTAAAGAATGCATCGTTTCATTCAGAGTTGACCAGTAAATAAGAGAAAAATGTAACTTACAGATGAATACATGAGAAAACACGTAGTAAAATAATCTATAAATACTAAATTTTTAAAGTAAAGGACAATGAAATACATATATATTAATTTATTCTATCAAATATGTCAATTAAATCAAAAATAAAATGCAGGTTTAACTCCTACACTACTAGTAGAGCTCTATGAGTCGTATTTGCAGTATAAATAAATAATGATTCTTCATTGTATTCTTGCAATAATATGAATTGCACAAATTTGCCTGCGATTCAACCTAATTCATATATCATAAATTCATGCAACCCGTATCTTTACAAAGATACAATAAGGACCCATTATTTTATCATCTTTGGAGCGGTGTTAATAGATACGATTCATCAATATCTATTTCTATTTCAAGGTGTTCGCATACTTTACCAATAATCGTCCGAAATAAAATAGACTGAACTAAAAGTTTATTCTTTTATCAATGTAAACAGTTCTATAAATTCCTTACTGCATGTCTGCTCGAATCCGAACAGAAGTTTTTCGAAATTAATACATATACATAACATAAAATAGGAAGTTTTTTCGAAATTAATATGATATCTAGGTTAATAATGTCAGCATCCGAATCCACGGATGTCCGACGAGAACTCGCAGGAAAGACGCCGTTTTCCATCGGAAAATGATAGAAACTTGGGAGCAGGAATCTGGTGATCATATCCGATTGTCAACTCTGTTCAGTGACTGTCGGTTCTGACAAGAATTAGATAAATCCGGTCACCGGATTCCTGCTTCCAAGTTGCTACAACTTTCGAGTCGTACCCTATTCATCTCGATATCCAACTCGTTCCAACTCTAGAGCATACATATATAGCAATGATTCTAATGTATTCAATATTATCTGTAAGTCATAGAGTGTGAAATCTAAATTATTTAAAGACATTTATTGGCGAAACAGCAAATTACAAATGAATAGTAAGAAGTATCAATAGATGGTGCTCATTACCGACAGGAATACGTAACTGTATTCATTGAATTTTCGCTCCAATAGTAATCAAGAGAAATTGTTATTATACAAAAGCTCAGATCAGACAATTTTCTATTCGACAAACAATTATTAAAACTTCGCATGTTAATATTTTTTATTTCATTTAACTTTTCAGATGACAAGTGTAACAATGGATGCTAAATTAAAAGAAGCTATACCATTATATGAAAAACTCAAAACTGAATGGGGCCGTAAACCACCAAATGTTGGCAAAACTGATGAATTGCTTAATTTATTAAAAGTATTATTTTTTTTTCTGATTGTTTATTTCAATCAAAATAAATTTTATTTATTTTCTTATTTAAGAATTTATTTGCTGAAGGTGGATTCTATCCATCAGATTCAAATGAAGATACACGTGGTTTACATATAGCACGTATGTCTTATTTCTTATATTAATTATTAATTTTAAAAAACAAATCTTTTTATAAATAGGTGATACACTTGAAATAGCTGCACAATGTGCAATTCATAAAGGTGATATACCAGCATTTGAACGAGCTCTTGCTCAACTTAAGCCATTTTATTTTGATCTTGAGTATGTGTATTTTTTATTTTTGAAATTTTATTTTTTTTTGTTTTTTTATGTAATTAAGAAATCGAATACCTGAATCACCGTATCGTTATTTATTACTTGGCTTAAATTTACTTTGTTTATTATCACAAAATCGTCTTGCTGAATTTCATACGGTAGAAAATTCTATTTTTAGACAAAAAAAAAAGACAAAATATGAATGTTTATTTGTTTTTTATTCCCCAAGGAATTGGAATTACTTTCACCAAAAGTTATTCAAACGAATCCATATATAAAACATCCTGTTTCACTTGAACAGTATTTAATGGAAGGAAGTTATAACAAGGTAAAAAATTCTTTGACTTAAATAAATATATGAATAATTATTTTTGAATTCTATTAGGTTTTTCTTGCTAAAGGCAATGTTCCATCACCTTTGTTTACTTTCTTTATGGATATTCTTCTTAATACAATTCGGTATGATTTTTATTTATTTTTGTACTCAACATCATAGCGATTTTTTTTTTAGTGATGAAATTGCTTTTTGTATGGAAAAATCCTATAGACAAGTATCATTAAATGAAGCTGCACGTATTCTTTATTTAAATAATCCAGATGAATTAGCTGAAATAGCAAAAAATGTAATAAAAGAAAAACTTTTTTTTTTTAATTAATTGAATTTCATTTTTTTTGTTTTTAGCATGGTTGGAAATTACAATCTGATAAATCATTTCATTTTGCTGATAATCAAATAAAACATGAAAATGAACATGTACCTGCTGATGAAATTGCAACACAAATGATTCAATATGCACGTGAAATGGAAATTATCATTTAAAAGTTGTTCAACCTTTTCTTTTATGATATAATAAACTCGAGAGAAAAATATAGGATGATGCTTGTTTGTTTTTTTTCGTCTATTATTAAAAAAATTCTTTTTTTTTCCTGTTGATTATTCTATCTTTTAGATAAAATGTTTAATTTAAATTTTTCAGCTAAAATTAAAGAAGCTGAAGAACATGTTAAACAAGGAGAAAAATATTTAAAAACATCATTCACAAAATGGAAGCCAGATCTTGATTCAGCTATTGATGAATTTGATAAAGCATGTACATGTTATCGTGTAGCAGAAAAATATGAACAATGTCGAGATTTATCAATAAGATTAGCTGAATTACAAATACAAAAGGGTAGTACATTTTTTGCTGCTAAATCCTATGAACAAGCAGCACAAATGGCACAACAATCACAAGATTTAACAACAGCTGCTAAATATTATGATAAAGCAGGAGAATTATATACTGAAGGAGGTAGAATTCAATATTAATTTAAATAAATATTATTTATTATTTACTTTATAGGTTATCGTGATTCTGGTGCAATACTTTATGAACGTTGTGCACCACAATTTCAACAACTCGATCGTACAATATCTATTGATTTTTATCTTAAAGCAGCACGTCTAGCTGAACAAGAAGATAAAACTTATCAAGCAGCTGATTTATATGAAAAAGCAGCTATGCAAATATTTCGTACAGGAAATTTTCCAAAAACAACTGAATTACTTGAAATAGTTACAAAAAATTTAACAACATTAGAACGTTTTGATCGTATTAATCGTATAATACTTTATCGAATATTACTTAAATTATTTAATGATGATAGTGTAGCTGGTAGAAATATATTTGATCAAGCTTGTCAAGATTATCCAACATTTGAACAATGGGAAGAACGAAATCATATTGAATTATTACTTGATGCATTTGATCAAGATGATAAAGATTTAATTAGTCGACGTTGTCAAGTAAATAACAAAAATTCTCGTTTTTTTTTCTCCTTTAAAACTTGATAATTGATTTCATTGTAGAAACCATATTTTATGGCAATTGAACCTGAATTTGTTCGTTTAATTAAACGTTGGATTCGTCC